TGTCTGAAATGTATGACCTTCTGATGAACAACTGAATGCAGCTTTGGTGTTGTGCCAAAAGTCTTAATAGATAAAATTCACAAACAAATATAGTATAAAATTATATCAAAAGGCAAATAGTTTTTATTGCAAATAATGCATAATAACAATTTAATCTACTTTATTTTTCAAAAGATTGCGGTATTCATTGCAGTCATCTTTTTTTTTTTCATTTTCATTAACATTTTGCCTGTTTTTGGTTTCATTTTATTTCTTTTCATGAGTTTTGCTAAATTGTTACTTGCTGAATTCTCCATTATTTGCTCAATTGTTCTTTCAACTATTTTGCTTACATGAATGTCACAGATGAAATTAGCTGAAAGACATTTTAATCATTAGTAATAAAAAGATTTTGCTTGCCAAAATGTTGCTATAATTACATAGACAGCCTGTGAGCAAACATACCTACATAAAGTAATTATGGACATGCCATAGTAATACCCAGAATTAATAGGGGGACCATTTGGACAAGCAGCAGTTAGCTGTCTACCTTTCATTTTATACAATGATTATGCTAGCCCCAGGAGTAATTCTGGACAAAGTATAGTTGTAGCAAAAGTTGGCTAAACAGACAGTGTGTCTCTACTGTCATGTCTTTGTTGTCACTGCAGTCAACTAAATTACGCACAAAGACCCTCCGCAACACCCGGAATCCTGCCTGGAATGAGACACTGGTGTACCATGGCCTGACAGATGACGACATGCAGCGCAAGACTCTCAGGTCAGCGAACACACTGATGTTATATGTGCTGCTAAAAACAAAAATCAATAAAATGATTTGAAAACAGGAAAATGACATAAGAATCTAATTTGATACATGCATGCTAAGTAGACAATGTGAGCCATAAGACACGTTTTTTCAAGCCAACATCAGACACCTATACTGAAAAGCTGTACTGATTCAAGCCTGAAAGAAATAAAATGTACAGGCATGTGTTCACATTTACATAAATATGCAACATTTTGATCATCATGGTTTGGAACATCCTCACACACTTGATGTGAATATCTTACATCTTTTATAACACAAAAATGTATTACTGTAAAGAACAGCTTTAGGTTTCTTAATAATGCTTAATTGGCTTGCTTACGTGCTTGGACCCAGATTTGTGTAAAGTTACTTTTTGACATAAAAGTTCATAAAAAGTGCTATACAAATAAATTTTAACTGACTTTAACTGACAGGTTTTCTTCATTTGTGGTTTGCTGGAGTCCCAGGGCTTTGTAGCCCTTTCCAGACTGATATATTTCATTAACTTTTGTTCTCATCTCTTCAGGATTTTTTTTTAATAATGTACAACATTTAGTCTTTGCTGGAAAGGTTTTATTAAAGTCATGTTTAGATTCAACAGGCAAAGCATTAATCAAGCCTGGGTGTATCTAATTTAACTGATCCTGATTGTCTAATAAAATAAAATGATAATTTCTGATTAGTCAGGTTGTCTTTGTAAAACAAGTGATAAATATGAGATAGGAGTGCCATAATTTTACAGTGCTGCAAAATATATATATATACATACATACATACATACACACAACAATTAAAATTAATTATTAAAATTAAACAAATATAGTTGGAATCAACACAGAGAAGGAACTGTTCTCAAAGGCAAATATCTGACCACACATGGAGATTTTTATTTTAAGGAAGTTAAAATATGCTTATTATATAAATTCTGTCTTTCTATCCAAAATCATCTGCACTTATACATTTCACTGACATGTTCTTTGTTATCTCTTTGACTGCAGAATTTCTGTTTGTGACGAGGACAAGTTTGGGCACAATGAGTTTATTGGGGAGACCAGAGTAGCTCTGAAAAAGCTCAAAAATAACCAGAAAAAGAATTTCAATGTATGTCTAGAGAGAGTGGTGCCGGTGAGTATTTCCCTCTCCCACTCCCTGTTGCTCTCGCTCTCTCTCTCTTTCTTGTCCTCTCTCTCCCCTCTCTCGCACACAACGATGATATTGTTCTTGTCATAGAACTGTAGCTGTATGTGTCATCTTTCTTCTGCTATAGACAAAGAGAACAGCAACTGCTGGTGCTGCGAGAGGAATAGCTCTTTATGAGGATGAGGTAAATGCACAGCAATCCAGAAGGTTATGCTAGGTTTATTGATTCAATTTTTACTGAAATTTAAGCAGATAGAATTTACATTTTATATTACCATGTGTGGTGACTATTGCTGATGCTTTTTTGTTAAAAAAAAAATGCGTACTAGACGGTTGATTCAAAAATTTCCAATTATAGTTTGGTATTATAATTGATTATATCAATTATCAGATTTATGCATCACACTACATTTTTACATAATGATTTCCTCGGAATGTAACTGAAACATTCAGCAACTAAAACATATTTGGGTTGAATTTGTAGATTTATATGTGTAAAGAAGAAATCAAATTCTCTATTTGACTCTTTGTATGGTTGTTTTTGTCTGCGTGTGTATATGCACAATATATATGTATGTGGAACATTTGTGTGTGTATATGTAGTCTGGTAAGGATGGAGGTGAAGCGGAGGAGAGAGGTCGTATCCTAATCTCCCTAATGTATAACAGCCAGCAGAATCGTCTCATCGTGGGTGTAATACGGTGTGTTCATCTTGCAGCCATGGATGCTAATGGCTACTCTGACCCCTTTGTTAAAATGTGAGTCAACTGAAATTGTTTCAACAGAGCTGAAGTTTGAATTATATGTAATAACATGAACATAGTCACAGTTACTTCTGGTGTTTATTCTGATGTTCATACTTTTTGCTCCATTGCTCATAAGCAGGGTGTTTTATTCTACTAACTAACTAGATTTCTAAACACTCTTCTGTATTTTGAAATATAAAATGAATGGGGGAAAAACTCAAGTGCACCTGCCAACCAAAAGGCCATTTGTACAGTCTGAAGGCAAAAGGTCAGTGGTTCAGAGCCCCCCACCCTGCCGCCCCCCATCAGACTGCTATTGGCCATGTGACTTCTGACTGTAGCTGCTAACTCAGAGCTTCAAAATGGGAAGTAACCTAACTAAATATTGAAGAACAATGTTATAGAGATTATTGATTTACTCATTAATTTCATTAACCAAATCCCATTAATTATATTGTATTATTAACACATTCATAACACTGATAGTAAATAGCATTGTAGAGAAAATTACTTAGATTTCTTTATAGTGGTAGTGATAGGAAACAGGGGTCATAATGTCTACAGTGCATATATAGTCATTTTATTTACCATCCAGAACGAACAATGAACTTACACGTACATAGTACAACTACAGGAGCTTTTATGGCACCCAGTCTAATACCATAGGCATTAATATGGAGTTGGGGAGTTGCAGCTATAACAGCTTACACTCTTTTGGGAAGGCTTTCTACAAGATTTTGGAGTGTATTTGTGCAAATTTCATCCAGAAGAGCATTTGTGAAGTCAGACACTGGTGTTATAGGAGAGGGCCTCGTTCACAATCTCCGTTCTAGTACACCCCAAAGGTGTGGGGTGTCAGGGCTCTGTGTGGGTCAAACTCACCCACCCATGCCTTTATGGGCCTTGCTTTGGGCACTGGGGCACAGTCATGCTGGAACAGAAAACGGCCGTCCTCAAAATGTTCCCACAAAGTTGAAAGCATACAGTTGTCCAAAATGTCTTGGCATGCTGAAGCTTTAAAATTCCCTTCACTGGAACTAAGGGACCTAGGCCAACTCCTGAAAAACAACCCCATAGAATTATCCCCTCTCCACTAAACTGTACAGTTGGCACAATGTAGTCAGGCAGGTAACATTTCCCTGGCATTCCCCAAACCCAGATTTGTCCATCAGACTGCCAGATAGAGAAGCATGATTTGTTACTCCACAGAATACATTTCCACTGCTCCACTGGTGGCGCTTTACACCACTCCATCCGATGCCTGGCAATGTGCTTGGTGATGTAAGGCTTGCATTCAGCTTCTTGGCCATAGAAATCTATAATGTAAAATACTAATTATTTGTTCAATTTTTGTTAATATTTTCTGCGTCTTCAATTTTTGCAGATGCCTAAAGCCAGATATGGGGAAGAAGGCTAAGAACAAGACCCAGATTAAGAAGAAGACCCTAAACCCAGAGTTCAATGAAGTAAGGCCTGGAAAACAAACTCACTTTACTGTATTTATTATTCATCTAAATTTTATCCTGCTTGTCTCTCTACAAAATCACATTTAATTTCAAGAGGATTACATACTTTTCATTGATGCTACCTGGATTTTGATTGAGAAAGGCCATCTTATGGGAACACTTCTCTGCACGGCTTTAGAATTGGAATTAAATGTTCTTTTGTAGCTGTGGAAAGTATATACTAACTTCTGTGGTCTTTGACTTAGCTTAGTTTGTAATTTTTTAGCATGATTGCAGTAAATGATAATTTCTTATAGCTGTAATGATCAGTGATGACAATGATCAGATATGTCTTCATTCACTGAAATTGTAAGTACCTTGCTAATATGTACACCAAAGGTCAAAATTACATCTAGGGTATGATAAAACCTTTAAGTGGGACCTAAAACATGCTGGAAACACCAAGAGAGTATAATATCAATATAAACACTGTCCTTAGAAGGTCGTTTTGCTTCTCCATTTGAATGTTAAAATCACCCACAGTTAAAGCTTTGTCTGTAGACAAGATGAGACTGGAAAAAAATCTCTGAAAGTTCTTTTAAGAAGTCAACAAGTGTTTTTCTGTGATACCAAGTGTCACTTTGTAGATGGTAGCAACACCTCCACCTCGTCCTTGTGTGTGAGGTTTCTGTTTATAGCTATAACCAGAAGTAGTACATTCATTTAAAACACTATAATAGAGTGTGTTTTTAACCATGTTTCAACTAAGCTAAAATAACTTAAAAAAAGGAGCTCATGCACAAAGACAGTTTTTGGAGCCAAGAATATTATGTTTATTAGTCCCAATTTTAAGATAATCATACTACTAGAATTTTGAGCTATAAATACTTATACAAGATTTTCCCAAGTTACACGATGATGTTTTGGGTTTAAAAATAATGTGACATCAGCATAGAAGATGATGTGGGAAGCGGTGCTTTAAACAAGCTCTAGTATTTACTCAGAAGCAGGAGAAACACGCCGCTCAGCGCTACTGAATGGCTAGGATAGCAGGCAGGTCACCAGCAGCCACACACTTCAATGGGACAGTAGGCACTTATACTTCACCACTAGCCCCCACACATATATACAGCACTTAAGGCACAACAACAATTATTCACATATTTAAGTCTCTCTCACTGCTGCCACAGTGGTATCCATGGTGCTCCGTGCTCGCTGCTCCTGCATGGCTATGCCTCCCAAATGTCCACGGCTGAACAAGTCAGTAGCGGGATGCCACCCCTACTCCCAAGCGGAGAGTCCCTTTGTGCGTGGGGGCACAGCGTTTCCCGCTCGCAGTTGCAGCCTGGAAGGGATTACAGAGTGTCCACAGTCCCAGTAAACACACAACATGGGCCGCTACAGATCCTGGGTCGAGCTGCAGACCACTCTAGGTCATGCTCCTAGCCAAAGCCAGGTGTCCTGACGCGGGACAGTGTCCTCCCAGGGAGCTGATGCATCCAAGCGGTGTTGCATCCAATTCAGTTCTCCCTCAAAATCACGTTCCTCTTCACGAATCAAGTTCTCACAAGCGCACATTCATTGAGCAGCTATCAGCACCAAACAACTGCTACTATGGAAAGCAAAATCATTCAAGACTGGTGTAAATATGCTTTGATGCTGTTTGGATAATTCATTTTGGCATAAGTCTTTTGACCCTTTTCACTTTCCGCTGTGTAAGTGCTGCCCACAACCATGATTGATGATGGAGAACGTGAATCAATTCAGCTGAAACATCAGGCGCAGTGGTGGTAGCGTGCGCGGTAGCACAGCTTACCACAGCATGGATTCCAATAGCTTTTTATCTTTCTTAATTTGGTAAAGCACAGATATTCTGCCCTCAAGATCCACTGGATCAAACGGGAACAGCTTTGACAGCAATTCTGTGTGTCCCGTCATTTAAAAAGTTTCCAAGGTGCCAGTAACGTTCTGCATTAGCTCCAATAAAAACCTAATTAGAAGCAGAATTAAGAAATGAAATTTAAATAAATACTGGTAACTACAAGTATAAATAAAACAGATCAAAGAAGTAAATGAAAATAAAAGGCATGACACTAAAAGGCATAAAACTAACTAAGTAAATAAAATTAATCTTCCATGCTGGGTCACACACTCTCAACACTCTCCTAATACTCTCCTAACAGTTAAGATAATAAAGTGCCTTTGCACTTGAGAGAAGTGTGGTACAGCTAACAGGGTTTTAAACTGAGCCAAAAGCCTGCTCAAATCAGCCCAGATTTAAAAGTGTCTAGTGTCGGGGATCTTCTAATGCTCTCTGTCAACTATGGGTGGGAATCTCTAGGCACCTCATGATTCGATTCGATTACGATTCAGAGGGCTGTGATGATTATAAACGATTATCGATGCATCTTGATGCATCTTTTTTTCTATACAGGATTTCTTTTTTTCTCACTGTGTGAAAACTTGGAACTTTTAAAGCAAAGTACTTGTAATGATCCACAATGAATTTACTTCCAATATCTTTTATTACTAAATCAAATGGAAGTGATGTGGCAAGTGAACTGGAAGGATCTCATTCACTGCTTTTGTTTGGAGCACATGAGACGTAGGCTGCCACTCATCTGCGATAAAATAAGCAGTTACGGTGAAATAAGATCCTGTGGCAACGGGTGTCCATGCCACAGATTACAGCTATTCTACCCGTTTTCTTCAGTGATTTCATAACTTTGGTTGTCAGTAAAATATCTTCAAGATGGGATGCTCAGCATAGCGCGAAAGCCCTGGTTCTCAAAGACTGAGTAAGAGTGCAAATCCTTGGCAATAAAAGTTGTGATAGAGCTTGTAATTCACTTCGTCCCTTCCGAGTTGGGTGAAAGTTTTGACAACGCTTGATCGATGGTCCTCTGGTTGGCAGCAACTACAACCGGGCGGAAAATGGATGAAAACATGCAATATGGTTTTATCCCTCAACTCCGCAGAAGCCAAGGCACTTCCATGCAGTAGCTCAAGGGTCGGCAACCTACGGCTCTTTCACTGGCCTGTTGCGGCTCCATGTCAGAATTATATTTCTTGGTAAAAATAAAATAATCCTCCTTTGCAGTAAAATAAAGTTCTGCTGATCGTTCAAACACAGTTTTAACAATAAATGAGCTTAAACGCTGGAATTAATGTAATTAATGTTAATGGAATTAAGCTAACAAAAAGGCAAAGAGAAAGATTTAAGATGAACATCGATAATTTGGAGACTAATGGACCTGCATGGAATGCATTTATAACCAGTCAGCTGGTTTCCTGATACATTTAATCTGCAACAAGAAACTGTCAAACACTAAACATGTGAAACTGAAGTCAGTTTCTCGTTCTCCAGCTTCTCGTTTGAATTTTCCCGTTCCTCAAATGGTGCAGCAGTTACATTCTGGCCAGTTAAGAGAGCATTACAGAAATCAATCTAGCTAGAAATACAGGCATTTATTTGTTTCTCCAGGTCTAGTTTAGTAAAATAGGAAAATCTGTAATGTTTTTGATGATCTTAAGGTGATAAAACTGATTTAGTAACTGATTTGACATGACTGCTAAAACAGAGATCAGAGTCCATTAGTACATCAACATTACATGCTAGTTCTTTAGATTTAAGGGCTCTCAAATCTAGATAGGCAGCTAGTCTGTGATTAGCGTTGTTGTTATTTTGAAATAAAATAATCTCTGTTTTGCCTTTATTTAACAGCAGAAAGTTTTGTCTGATCCAGTTAGTGATGTGCTCAAAGCACTTACAAAGTGAGTCAAGGGGACCATAATTGTTTGGGGGAGAGGCCAAGTAAAGCCGAGTATCATCTGCATAGCTGTGGTAACATATCTCATTCAGGATTTGGCCAAGAGTAAGCATGTACAAGTTAAATGTAATGTTTGACAAAGTAGTTTCTGCCTTGCACAGAATAATTTTAGGACAGTTCTCTGAGAATACAACTCAGTTGTCAAATCTATCTGTGAGAATTTTATGGGTAATCGTCTCAAAGAAAGCACTGAGAGTGAGCAATAGTAGAACAGCTATCCAAAGCATACCACCAAATGACACACAAAAATGGTTCACTGACTACAGAATTAAGCCACTGCAATGGTCCTCTCAATCCCTTCATCTAAACCCCTGTGAAAACCTGTAGGATAGTTGAAGGATGACTTTCTGCACATCTGCAGAGATTTGTAAGGAGTTTTCTTCATATACGAACTTTAACCTCATTCAGAATTACAAGTGAAGACTAATGCTGTTATTTTGTCACAGCCAATATATACTATTCTCTGGAAAAGCCTTCGGCATCTGCTAAGTATTTGTCTGGGCGTTAAGCATTTATTTGTCAAAAAATAACTTAAATTAGAATAAATATAAATGAACAAATAAATACTGTATTGTGATTTTATATGTGTGAGTGTGATAGCTTAACAATTTTCAAAAATTTCCTTGAAGAAGGCCAGTAATTGCAGATGCCATTCAGGATTGATTAGTGTGGCTAATCAATCTTTCAATAAATGAAATCAGTGTTGGTGATGCAATATATAATATGTATGTGTGTATGTGTGTGTGTGTGTGTGTGTGTGTATGTGTGTGTGTGTGTGTGTGTACATGTGTGTATGTGTATGTATATACACTCATCGTCAATAAAACAGTTGCACCCAGAAGGAATCAACCGACAGGAATGAACCTTGGTGGGTAGTTTTGACATCATGAGACATGCGAATGATTCACGTTTCACGCTCGGCCGAACATGTGACGTAAGCAAGGATGGGCCTTATCGCTGTACCCAACATTAATGAGGTCCTGCAACCAGTGGCCCTACTGATGGGAAAGATTGAATAAAATATTCCCTAATCAATAAACTAAACATTGGCTGACTAGAGAGCCCTCCTAATAAGGTAATATAGGGAAGCAGACTATGGATTGTAAGCAGTAGACTCTCTAACAGGGAAAGAGTTTCTGGGCACACAGAATGGAGCTGTGCCAGATGACAGTTTAAGTTATTATTATAAGTTATTAAGTTAGTTTAAGTTAGTGTGTGGAGGGTTGTGTGAGATGGCCCTATGGAGAGTTGTGCAGGAGGGCCCTGTAAGGAGAGAACAATCTATTAAGAGTCAGACCAGAGTGAGTTTAAAAAAGAAAAAGACATCATATGCGTTTGGTTTTAAAGGTTACCAAAAAGGTGTAAGGACATGATGGGGACTAAAATGGTATGGAATTGTGTAAATGGGGTGGGGAGATTACCTCATCGCCCCAGAGGGGAATAAAAAAGGGATGTTTTGAGATGTTCTTTGCATTGTGGTTGACCGGGAAGCATCTTGCCGTTTGACGCTCAATAAAGTGAAGGCCTTTTCCTTCATTACACAAGAACTCACAAGTCTTTTTGCATTCCTTTTTATCCTTTTTCATTTTTGCTGGTATTTTTTGATTCTTTTAATTCTTTTTAAAGATATTAGATTACAGATAGTTATTAGGGCAATAGTATAGATAATATTAGAGTTACTTATAAATGTCCAGACCCTGGGCAAAAAGAGAGAGCTCTTGGTTGCAACACTACCTTTTCTGAATGCACACTTCGGTGCACTATTCCAACAGGACAACACTCGTCCTCATTCTGCTGCCATCTCAAGAGCTTGCCTTAAAGATACAAATACTATGTCATGGCCAGCCACATCGCAAGACCTGTCCCTGATTGAAAATGTATGGGATGCTATTGGACACGCTATCAACACTCCAGCCCTACCACAAAATCTGCAGGAACTGCATGAGAATATTCGAGCTGCATGGGATGGATTATTGCAGGACACCATCAGGAACCTCCACAACTCCATGCCGAGACGTCTGGCATGTTGCATTAGCAAACATGGTGGCCCGATGCCATTTTGAGAGACACTACTTCTGTATGTGTAGCTTAATAAATATTTCCATATCACTCTAATTATTGTAATCCTTTATTGTTCCTGGTAACCTTTATTTTCCTTCCAAATAGCATTGCAATCCGATACTTCCTTCTAGGTGCAACTATTTTTTGACGATGAGTGTATATATACTAACACACACGTGCACACATACCAATAGCAATAATTCTGAAGGGCACTGTATGCTCCTCTAGAATCAAACTTTATATAATGTTGAATCCCTAATGCAGGAAAGACAAGATTGCTAACTTGCTGAAAATTGATGAATAATTGCATACTTGTAGATGTTAATAAATGTTATCTATCATCTCTATTTTCTGTGCAGGAATTCAGCTATGAAATCAAACATGCAGAGCTAGCCAAGAAGACTTTGGATATCTCTGTGTGGGATTATGATATTGGCAAATGCAATGATTATATAGGTACAGCATTAATTTGTTTTAATGTTTGAATACAAAGGCACTACGTGGTATATGTTGATATGTTCATATATTAATAGTAAAATCAGCTGCAGTATCTTTGCTTTATACACTTTTCTGTTGTAAGATGTTATGTCTTAGTCAGTTTGATTTACATAGTAAGACCAAATACGGACTTCCACTGAAAATGTTAATATGTCTGAGTGAATGATAGCTGGTAGCCTCTATTTTGTGAGCTTGCTTTCATAATGGCATTAGCTTTAATTCATAATTAGCAGTGTTTGAATTTTTGTGTGAAGTATTTCGTTAAAAGTAATTCATTCTTTTTATATTTAGGGGGATGCCAGTTGGGTATCAGTGCCAAAGGGGAACGTCTGAAACATTGGTATGAGTGTCTCAAGAACAAAGACAAGAAGATTGAACGCTGGCACACATTGATCAATGAAAATCATGTCTCTAGTGATTAAGGCTCATGCCTTGAGTCTTTATGCATGCCTTAGATGACTACTCTAATCCTAGTTCTACCTTGTCATTTTGTAACCCCTTCTTACCCTTTGTCCTTCACTAGACTAGAATTTACATATTCTCTCATACTTTTCACTGTAGGCATTGTTCTATCTAAAATTGTCTCCTTACCTGCTTCCAACATGGTGAATGTTTGGAAAAAAGGCTTGAATTCAGTTCAGTTTGCTTTAAGTCAAGAAAAAGTGCATAAACAGCATGCAGTGAGTAGACATGCTCTTAGTTAGCTGCTGTAGCATAGTAAAATTTTCTTTGATTTATTTACATTGGTCCACTGCTTTCAACAACTGTTGGAATTGTAAACATGTACCTAAAGGCACATTTTCACATCTTTGCACTCTCAGTCCCTTTTCCTAAAGTCACTGTTGGGCAAACACTGTTTACATTTGCTGTTGGGCATTGATCATTGTATCTGTATGTCTTGGTTAACTATTGTGGTGGCTTGACACCCCATGGCTTAAAGCAAAATCAAGAACATATGCCTTTTCTTCATTAATTAAAAGCATAAGAAAGGTTGCCTGGCAGATTGTAATCCTAAAAATTTAAGTTCAGTGAAGCAGTCTAGACACAACACTACTTGTGTCAGCATGATGTTCCACAGATCACTAAATGCTGGTGCTTGAGCTCACATCTCAAGAAAACCACAAAAGCCTGTAACCATGCAGCATATATTTTGCACATTTATTTGTTTCTTATTACTAGCAGGTTAAATAGGAGGTCCAAGTTTAAGGGGTTCATGAAAAAGCCTCACTTGGAACATTGGTTTTACATTGATGTGATGCTGATCTTTACACTTGACAAATGGAAGGAGCTTTACGTGATCGTCTGTGTGGATGTTTATTTATGATTAATGTTATGTGTTTAGATATTGATCGATACAGCTGCATAATGTAGGTCATCCGGGTGTAGCCATAAAGAGGACAAACTATGCTGTTTGTGGTCTACTGATAAAGACATACTGTATATATATTAATGTGAATAATTTCAAACATGCAAAGCATGTGGATTTTGTTTTTATTTCAGCTGTTCACAAAGTACAAATACTTAGGTACAAATATTTAAGAATGCAATGGATGTGCAATCTGTTCTAGGTATTAATGTAAATGTAAGCAAGGGCATTTTCTATCATAACCACTTTTGTACTGAATCCACACAATTACACCATGCTCTAGTCTTTCTGCTATTTTTCATCCTGTTACAGGGCACAATTCCATAAAGTTCTCTTGTTAGGATATACCACATTTGCATGAAAAGTGAGTACAGTTTCTGTCCCTGGGCTATTATACTCTAGGGGTGATCCTTCTATTTATCCACAGTGTCTCTTGCACAGTTGCTCCTCTTAGGGAGTACAGACCTCTTTTCCAGACGAATCATCTGAAGCTTTGCCTTTGCCTTGTAGTTACAGCCCAGGCACCTGTGAATATTAAAGGAAAGCACACATTACTATACAATGGAATGACCTCGTAATTTCGGGATTTGTACACTTTGCAAGTTTTCATTATAAAAACCTATGCATGTCTCTCTCTTTCTCATATATATATATATATAATATAATATATATTATATATATATATGTGTGTGTGTGTGTGTGTGTGTGCATGCAATATTTTTTTTTCTTTTTTTTCTTGTCTTGTTTTGCTTTTCGTAATCTTTAGAGATCCAATTGGCCCATTAAGCCTTTACAGTTGTCTGTGTATAATTAAATTAGTCTCTCAAATTTACCTCACAATATTTTTTTAAACCTCATTGCTTTGTATCAAGTATAGGTTGCTGGTAATTAACAACCTTGAGTAAATTCAGTTACACACTTGATAATCTGTTAAATTAATAGGATAAACCTGATTAAATCACAGCATGGGTTTGCAGTTTTTTCAAGGAAAGTTATTTTACAGTGCAGTTTAAATAACACCACTCAGAACATTAGCACTGAGTTGCAAACTCACACATGTAGTAATTCTGCCATCTAGTGGGATACGTTCACCATGAATTCTGACCCATTAGATAACAATGCATTTTGGACACAATTTAATGATTTATGTCAAATTAGTCATTTGTTTGTTCATTTTCCCTCCTGCTGAGTGGCCTGACTATTGTCTGTGCTAGTACACATATCTTGGAATGAACTGCTGTTTTGATTATTAAATATCGAATTGTAAATATATAGTGCATGTACTTGGGAGAGTAAAGAATCTTGTACACTGAGGATGCAAAACATTGAGGACACCTTGCTTATATTGTGTTGCACTCAGGATAGCCTTAGTTTGTTGACATATAGAGTTAATACAGTATTGAAAGCAGTTTTCGAAAATGCTGGCCCATGACTCCATCGCCTTCCACAGCATTACAACAGGTTTCGACACACTCAGTGCACCCATCATATGATGACTATCAAACCCTGTTCATTTTTGAAAATTGTAATAAAATATTTGTATTATTCTTGCTTATTCTCCCTTACATATCCAGGTCTGAGTTCTCTTACCTTAAAACCTTTCTTTAAACTCCCTTTAGCTTGCACCAAAAAAGGGATCATAGCTTTTCCCTTTTTTAACCTGGGAAATTAAGTCAAAGAAAGAGCAGGTGTCCTCAATGTTTTATATGCTCAGCATATTTGAACCTCATTTTGCATGTATTTTACTTGGTTCATTTCACAGAGGCCAATAAATGCTAATGTAAAGGATAATTGGAAGACTGATTCTTTCACCTTCCCAGATTTTAACAATTGTCAAGATATTTATTTTATTTTATTTTAACATCAAGTTTTACCATGCAGTTTTTTTCTAAGCTTCATTTATACAGGGAACACTTTTTCAATATGTCCAAGATTGGAACTTCTATGGGGATGTGTAAAATGTGTTAAACCAATATATAAACATAAAATTATGTGTTGTTAAAATACTATTTTTTAAAATTAACATTTGGCTTATATAAACTATATAAATATTTTTCTACATTCCCATAATTATGCTTTCTTAGTAAATTAGTATAGTAGCACCAAAACAGATGCAATTAAGATATGCTGTATTACATTTACTATTCTCGAACAATACATTTTGAGGTAGGTATTAAGAGTTTCTGATGTGTTAAGTGTTCCTGATCCATGTACTTGCTTTCTGGATTGTTTCTGTTTAACTAATTACCTGATCCAGATGAGCTGTCACACCTGCCAAGGGCTCTGTAGTCATCTCTGGCTCTGTGGTCCTCTTCTGGACTCAACTTCCAGAGTCTTCCAGGAGAGCATGTGACGCTGACTCTACCCGCATCAGCCGACTGTCAAGCACTCTGCAGATCCCGGTCACCTAATAACTAACCAGCCACAACTGACTGTCAACACTACACCTTATAAAGACTGTTTCAGTTTGTTCACTTCTTTGTGAAGTATTGCCACAGTTGGTTCTTGTGCATACCAAACATTCTTTTCTGCATTGCTACTCTGTGTTTGACCTGGCTTGTTTTTGACCTCATTTTTGTATTTGTCCTTTTTGGCTTGGTCTACTTTTTCTCATATTTTGCCACACTGTTTTCACCTCTGTTTTGCCCTCGAATATCCCTTTAACATCTCTAATTATTGTTGCTAGCCTCTGTCAGGGTTTGACTGTCACCTGTTCTACTGCGTCGTGTTTGATCCTCGTTACATTAAAGCCTCCAACTTTTGTTTTTACTGCAAGCGTCTGGTCTGTTCTGCCATGTTACAGAATACTTTGCCACTAATGCAGACGGAAGACCTCGAGGCTTTACAAAAGGCAATCTCTAACCAGGGCCAAATGTTGGGACAACAACAACAACAACAACAATTCCTTTCCAGGTTTAGCCAGTCCATGAGTAACCTGGCTCAACAGCAAAGTGAGCAGCAGGCTTAACTAACCCAGCAAGAAAAACCTAACTGTCCAGTTGCAATCACTGGGTTTGACTGGTTCTGCTACTAGCCTTTCTAGCTCCTGCTGTAGCTCCTGCTACTGCTTTCCTTGTAGGCAAATCTGAAAAATTCAACAGAACACCTGAGAAGTGTTGCAGTTTTCTTTTGCAGTGCTCTGTATTTTTTGGTAACTCCCTGCCTAGTTCGTATGCAACTGAAATCTCCTTTAGCATTTCAGCGTTGACAGGCAAGGTTTTGGAGTGGGCCACAGCTGTGTGGTCTAACAATCGAGATCTTACATGTGATCATTTCATTTCTCATTTTGAGACTGTTTATCATCCACACTAGGGGGGAACTTGTAGAGAACTACTCTCCAAGCTTTGTAAGGGAAACTGCCAGGTTTCTGAAAATGCAACCGCGTTCTGTACGCTGGTCTCTGGCGGTGGCTGAAACGATCCGGCACTCATGATTCTGTTTCGTAACAGACTCAATGATGACAATGATGACTTGTCCCTTGACCAGCTTATCGCATTGGCTGTTTACCTGGATCAGCTATTACATGATCGCAAATCCCAAAGAGTTACACCCAGTCCTCAAATGGTCCGGTCCAGCTCCAAGCGATCACCTGTGGTCTACACAGTGTGTGGTTGTCCTTGCAGAATACAGTGTAATTCATCATGCATGTCTACAAACTACAGATACCAGTAGAGCCTCTAAAAACCCCACTTACAATAGTAACAATAGTAACAGCCTTAAATAAAGATAGAGATCATTGTTGCTACAATTTTGTTACAGGCTTCAGGCAATCCGCGCAAAATCTGAAATATAGAACATGGTCGTTAACTGGGCAGGTGGTGACTGGGCAATCCTGACTGAGCTGCGGACAGTTTGAGCAAACAGGCACGCACTGGCCCCATGCGATGATTACCCCTCACTAGTAGGCTTAGCTCAGGGGTCACAACCAAAATGTTAAGAAGAGCCATTTTGTCCTTTCAACAAAAATGAAACCACCTGAGAGCCACAATATTACATATCCGTTTTACCATCTTGGCTGTAAATATGTCTCAGTATGTGCTAATGTGCTAGTACAGGCTAAAAATAGAATATAAACACAAATGCAGACTTAATTTGCTCTGCTTTAAGCTTCAGTTCAGCTATAGCTGCTTTTCTCGCCTCTCAGAAAACTTCTCCGCAAATATCTCTCAGTGTTTGACTTTTTACAAGGCTGAATTCAGCTTCTCATTCTTCAGCTTCTTGTTCAAATTGTCCCATTCCACCTTAAATGGTGCCTGAGGTGCCAGACTGTACTGCTGCGCCATTTAAGTTGGAATGGGAAAATATGAAAGAGAAGCTGACTTCAGCTTCGCGAGTTGTTGCAGATTAAACATAGCAAGAAATCAGCTGAGTGCTTATAAATGCAAATAAGTCCGTTTTGTCCAAATTATCGATGTTCATCTTAAATCGTTCTCTTTGCCTTTTTGTTGTCTGCATTACTGTGTGAACAGCAGTCTGTGCGTCAGTCTGTATGTTAAAACGATTTTACAGCAAAGGAGGATTGTCATTTTACCTAAAATTCTAGTTCTGCTGTGGAGCTGCAACAGCTCTGCAGCAGTGTAGATATTACTCAGCTGCGCAGGCATGATTCTCACCCCAAACAGAGCCAGGGTCCCTGATGAGAATTTTGAGGCTGAAGTCTTGTGGAAGTTTAACAAAGGACTCTGAATGTCATGTCTGTACATATCTTGCTGAAAAGTTTAAATTGGAGCAGTTTTATTTCAATAGCTGACAATGCAATGCACAAAACTGTTTGGTTTGTATACAGTTATTTTTGTTCATTTTTGCTAGAAAAAACTGGGAATGATTGACTTTGCCTTTACTTAGTCAAAATTTTTGTTGGATATCACATCTTTGGTTGTGTAAGTTTGATTGTTGGTTACACCTAAACCTTTTGGTGATCTTTTTGTATATTTGCAGCTTTTCAATTGTATGTTTCTTTCTGGCACATGATTAAATGCAGTGTCTTGTTCACACTATCAGTTGGGCTTGTTTGGTGTGTCAGGTGGAGATACACAAACATTCTGACAATCGCGCTCTTAGTGGATAAAAAGTACTGCACTATTTTTCAAAAAGTAGCTAAAAAGTAGCCACTACTTTTTCTGGAAAAGTAGCTAAATTGTAGCTAGCTACAAATTTTGGGAAAGTAGCTACAAAGTAACTAACTACTAATTTTTCAGTAGCTATCTCAACCCTACCCCTACCTTCTGCCACTTACTCCAGGCACCCTAGAACAGTTACATGGAGCCAAGGTATTTACCAAGCTAGACCTCGAGAGTGCTTGTAATTTAGTTTTCATAAGAGAGTGAGATGAGTGGAAAACTGTATTTATCACTGCTAGAGGGTACTATGAATACATGGTCATGCCATTCAGGCTCTCTGATGCCCCCTCCGTCTTTCAAGCTTTCACAAATGACACGCTGAGGGACATGATAGGCCAGTTTGTGATAGCATATATAAATGATTTCCTGATCTACTCTCTCGACATTACTATGCACATTGAGCAATAGGTGCTATAGAGACTGATGAATCAATTGTATGTCAAAAGAGAGAAAGGTGAGTTTCACCTTCTTAGTTTATATATATATATATATATATATTATATA